AGCACGAGAATGTGTTTGCAGCTACGTTAGCAGCTCTGTGAGGCTGTTCTATGCTATCTAGTGGAGCTAGCTATGCTAATGTGAGCATGCTAACACTCACATTGTGAACATGCTGATGTTTAGCAGTTAATGTTTAACATCTCTCAGTGTGTTAGTATGTTAACATTGCTAATTACCACTAAACACAAAGTACAGCTAGGATTGATGGGAGTGTCATTGCTTTTGGCATTTTGTCATAGATCAAAGTACTGGACAAGTTACGTTACAAGTGATAACTTGGCACTGGATAAAAACCTGTACCAAATTGTACTGCAATCTGTCACACACACACGTCAACCTCATAGGTGTCACCACAGTCATTAGAGACTGTGCTATTTCACAGAAGAAGTAAAAACGGACCTGCTAGAAGAAAAGTCAAGGTCACTAAAGTCTGTGAGAGTCATCCTATCTGGACCATGAATGTCTGTACAGAATTTAATGGCGATCCAACACATTGCAGTCTGGACCAAAGTGGTTGACTGACCAACACAGCGTTAACATTTGTAATATCACCAGAATGGGGACAAATGGAAACTGTTGAGCACCTCATGACTGAGGAGTCATCACTTTATTACACGTCAGGAGAAGTAAAGCTTAACTGGGTGGGATGGTGGAAATCCTGCCGTGTGGCAGGTAGACAGACTGACCTCTTGTGCCCCAGTAGAGTTTTTACCCATTGCTGTGCCAAGGTCATGCTCAAGCAAGAGCAGGAAAACCCCATCTCCACCCTGCTACCTCATCACTGCCACCAGCCACACAGGAACACTGTGCACTCTGTGTAGCAGTGCAGCCAAATATAAAACCACTGGCAAGGATGCAGTATATATAATCAGAGACTCCTGCTTCTTTTTTTCCGTGTGGAATATGGGATAATTTCACGTTTTAAAAAGTGTCATTAACCACAGTTATTCGGCTGAAAATAGAAAGCATGCATGAATAACTGGGTCTATATGGCAGTGGAGCTGTGCTGCCAGGTGGTGCCACTTATTTTTTAGGACAGGGATTTACAGCCATCTCACAGTATTAGAGGTACCCCCAGCAGAACACAAAAGAGGCCCAGACAAAACGTCAAACCAACTGTAAAATATGTCATTATAGGCTCTTTGTCTTTAAGAAACATTGACCCTGTTCCTCCCGGTGATTAGAATAGTTTTCGAATAGGTCTTATACACAGACAAGATGGCCTTTTGTGAGGCCCAGCTGTGGGGGGCACTGAGGGTCGAGGCTGTTCTTTCTGAAGAAGACGTGACTTGTAATGAGCTTGTCAGGGGCCATCTCTCCTTTAGAGACGGCAGTCTGCATGACATGACCAGAACAGAGTAATGAGGCTTCACAGGGAACACCATGTACTCTATGTCCACAAAACTCCTCTTGGGAAAGTGGATCTTCGTCGTTAAGAGTTGGTTATGCATCTTTGGACAAAGAGTCTAAAAAAAAAAATGAAAAGGAACTGGTGTTGTCCTTAATAAGAATCGGAAGCGGTTTTATTTATATGGCCTTCATTTGTTCCATTTAAAACTGAGTTTATCTGCTACATGACTGAATTTTCCATACTGCAGGATAAATATATGTGTCTGAGAAAAGCCCCGCCTCCCACACCAGGAGATCAGACAAAAGCTGTCTGGTAACCTTAGACCCCTAAACTGCGGTGGATTCCTCACCATCAAACTCAATGCAGTATAATGAGCGATTTAAATTCATTGTGTACTCTCATGTCTGCTACATCCTGGTGTCCCTTTTACGTGGTGTTGGAGAAGGCTACTGCGGTTTGCGAAGAAACCCTAAATGAAACTACTTAAGTGTGCTTGCCGCTTGAGACCTGTCGCGCGACACTGTGACGTCAAAATGACGTAGATCTCGCTGGCGCGCCAGGATT